AGGTGCCGAGCTCGAGGTTCATGTCGGAGATCTTGCAGTGCCTCGCGCACGGGACTAGGAGCACGCTGCGCTTCTTGGCTGACCTCGGTTCCCGGCTCGGGTCGAACCACCCCTCGACGCCCGAGACGTTGATGAGCGTGAACCTGTACTTGTCGCCCGCGCTCAAGTATGCTTGGTCTACTTGCTGCTTCTTGTCGCCATGCTCATCGTAGAACTTCTCTCGCTCGGCCCCCCAAGCTGCCTCGTCTGCCTCGGCCTGCGTCTCGCGAAACTTGCGGCGGAGCTTCTGGATCCGAGCCTTGTGGCTTGCGCCGCGGAGCTCGGACTCGTGGAGGTAGACTTTCTCCTCGCCTCGGAGCTTGAGCCAGAGCGCGGTCGCGTCGACGACGACCGCGCTCGTGTCTCGCCTGCGCTCGGCGAAGGCCTCGGCGTCTGCGACGAAGAGGCTGAGCTCCTCGGCGCTGCCCCTCGCCACGAGGTGCTGGAACCTGTCGGCGGTGGCCCAGGTTAGCTTGGCCTTGCTCTCGGAGAGGGTCTTGTTCTTGGTTCCCGAGACGCGCTGGCCCTTGCGCCCTGGCGCGCGCAGCCTCGGGGGCACGACCTCGTCGATCCACTTCTGGTCCTTGCGGGCCTTGTTGTTGATCGTGAAGGTCGCGAGCCGCTGGGTAATTCTCTCGAGAATCTCGGGGTTGTACCAGGGGTGGCTTGTGTTCTTGAGATGGAGCTGCTTGTCCTTCTCCCACTCGAGCTCGTACTTGAGCCTGGTCAAGACCGTCCTGTGGCGAACCTCGCGGCCGCACATGCGCCCCCGCTTGAACCAGGTCCCGAGTCGGCCCATGACTCCCTCGAGGGGGCGCTTGGGGCACGCCAGGCCAGGAGTGAAGTTCTGCAACCTCGCGCCCCGGCTCTTGTCTGGCCTTGCCTGATACGGCCGGCATCGGCCGCAGGCTCGGATGCCGTTCTTGCCGAGCCTCGCCGTGGCGACCAGCTTCTCGAGAGACGCTCTCTTCTTGTGCCAGTCCTTGACTGCCTCGTAGGGCCAGCGCCACTTCTCGGTGAGCTGAATCTTGACGCCGACTGGGAGCTGGGAAAAGTCCGCGAGCTCGTGCTTGTCGGCCTGCTCGCACCAGTCGAATACGATCTGGACCTTGCACTGCGCGGGCGGGTCTCGGCGCAGGGTGGGAGCTAATCGGGGCTTGTGCGTCCCGTGGCAGTTGCGACTCGAACCCTCGGGTCTGTCGCCCTTCTTCGGCCCCCGAGCGACGCCTCGGCCGACGTCGTCGGGGTCGAGCACCTTCCCCTCGGTGCTCGCCTTCGCTCGGCGCTCAGCAGCGGCTGCGAAGCGCTCCTGCTGGGACTTCTCCGCCTCGAGTCTCTTCGCCTCGAGCTCCTTGAAGAACATCGTCTGCGCCTCGGGGGACAGGCCAGGCGAGCTCCTGAGCTTCTTGCGGGAGCTCGGGCATTCCACCGGACTCGAGCTTAGCCCCCATAAGCTTGACAGGCTCGACTGCCGTCTGATCGGCGTGCCCATGTCGACCGGCGCTTGACTGGCGCGCTCGAGGGGCGAAACTTCTGCGCGGGTGGCGTGCTCAAAAGGCGCGGGGCCAGAAAGGCTACGGATGTTGTCCTTGCGGAGCTGCTGCTGCTTGAGGCATCGAATGCGCGCGCGCATCGTTTGAAAGCTGTTGCTGTTGTTCGCTTGGGACGCCCTCGAAAAAGAAGAGAAAGGGCAGGCCTAGGGTAGGCCTAGGGTAGGCCCAGGGGCAGGCCCTAGGGGTAAACCTGGGGTGGGCCGAGGGGCAGGCTCTAAGGGTAGGGCTAGGGTTGGCCTAGGGATGGGCCTAGGCGCGTAGGCCTAGGGTAGGCCTAGGGGTGGGCCCCAGGGGTAGGCCTAGGGGCGAGCCCTAGGGGCATGCCCGAGGGGCATGCCCGAGGGGGAAGGAGAAGAAACACAGAGAGTTAAATATAAATATAGAAAGGGAAGATGAGGAAGGGGAGGCATAAGAGGTAGAGGAGGAAGAGAGCGAGGAAGAGGAGAAAGAGCAGGAGGAGGAGAGAACAAGTAAACATCCGAAGCTCGAAATTTCTTACAGTTAAAGTTGCAAGCGCTTCATGATAGCTCACGCGCTTAGTGTCCCCAGGATAATCAACCCCAGCGATAGGCAAGTTCAGGGGGGGCAGGGGGGCAATCATAAAAATACATAGAAAACTAAAGAAAAAAGAAAAGAAGCAAGAGAAGGGCGAGGAGGAGGAAAAGCAGGAGAACAGAGGAAGAGGAACAAGCAAACATCCAAAGTTTAAAACTTATTAGATTTAATCTGCAAGCGCTTAATGAGCACTGAAATGTTCATCCCCTCGCGCAGGGGAGCCCATGCGCTGAGTTCCCCCCAGAAAATCAGACCCAGCGACGAACAAGTTCACGGCGCCAGGGGGGGGGGGGGGGGTAGGGAGAGAGAGAGAGAGAGAGAGGAGAGAGAGAGAGAAAGAGAGAGAGGAGAAGAGAGAGAGATGAGAGAGGAGAGAGAGAGAGAAGAGAGAGAGAGAGGAGGGGAGAGAGAGAGAGAAGAGAGAGAGAGAGAGAGAGAGAGAGAGATTAAAGAAAGAAGAAATTAGAAAGAAGAACTGAAGCAACACACAGAAAGAAAAAGAAGGAGAGAGAGAGAGAGCAGAGGAGAGAGAGAGAGAGAGTGATGAAGAAGAGAGAGAGAGAGAGAGAGAGAGAGAGAGAGGCAGAGGGAGGGGGGAGTAGGAGGGAAGGAGGAGCAGGAGGAGGAGAACCAGGACCGGATTCCTTAAGCACTGCTTGTTTCGCTTGAGACGCCCTTGCGACATTGGTTGTGTGGCTTTAAAGTCCTTGAAAACATGCTTGATTCACTTGAGACATCCTTGAACAAACGCTTGATTCGCTTGAGGCATCTCAAAAGAATGCTTGGTGTCCTCTTGAGGTCCTTCTCGGGTATTCCCTCGGCGTTTCGTTAGTCGAGGGTCCAAGCTCGAGGCTCCAGGCTCGAGATCTCCGCTCGAAGCCCATCCGCCTGCCGCCGCCGCCGCCGCCGCCTCCATCCTCCCTCCGCCCTGCTCCTGCCCCTGCTCCTGCCCCTGCTCCTGCTCCTCCTCCTCCCCCCCCCTCCTCCGCCCCCTGCCCCCACTGCTGCTCGCCCCCCCCCCCCCCCCCCTTCCCTCTCCCCCCACATCACCCCTCTCACGTCCTCTAGCAATTTCTTGTTTCGCCTGAGACATCCTCGAACGAATCTCTCGTTTCGCTTGAGACATCCTCGGCAAATCTCTCATCTCGCTGGATCCTCGAGCAATTGCTTGTTTCGCTTGACACATCCTCGAAACAAATCTCTCGTTTCGCATGAGACATCCTCGACAAATCTCTCGCTTTGCTTGAGACATCCTCAAGTATATGCTTGTTTCGCTTGAGACATCCCCGAGGGTTCTCTTGGGGTTCTCTTGAATTCATCGAGTGGGAGCCTCGATACTGGGCCACTCGACATGTTTCGTCGCGCCCAGCCTCGGTTAGCTCGCAAGAGTAGCGCCTCGGCCATCTAGAGTGGCTCACTCGAATCGACCCTGGCCTCTCTCGACTGAAGCTCGTCGCCCTGGAACTGCGTGGGCTCGCCTGACTGGAGCTGCTCGGCTGTCTTGCCGCGCACGGGAGAGGCCCTCCACGCGTTCTCTTGGGCGGGGTCGAGCTCGGTCTCGACCTCCGTCTCGGCATCCGCCCTTTGCTGCTTGACGTCGGTCTGGACGGCAGTCTCGATCTTGAGCTCCGTCTCGATCTTCACGACTGTCGGCTTGGACTTCCTCGAGTTCTGCGCTGGCTTCTCCGCGACAGAAGGCCTGGGCTCCCTCGGCGCCTGCGCTGGCTTCTTGGAGACAGTCGTCCGCTTGGCCACGTCGCCCGCAGCGCGCTTGCTCCGGTTGCATTCCTCGCTCGCGCTCGAAACCCTTGAGCCGGAGTGGACTACGGAAAGAGACATCCTCGAAAGCACTCTCGCTTCGCTTGAGACATCCTCGGCAAACCACTTCTTTCTCTTGGCATATCTTCGAAATTATGTGTTACTTCGCGTGAGAGATCCTCGGCGAATTGCTTGTTTCGCTTGAGACATCCTCGACAGATTTGTTTGTTTCGCTTGAGAATCCTGAGGCTATTGATGCATTTGCTTGAGACATCCCTGAAATAAGTTGATGTTTCGCTTGAGACATATTCGAACAAATGCTTGTATCGCGTGAAACATCCTCGCATGCGTGCTCGTTTTTTGTTCTAGAAGCATCCTCGAACGACTGCTTATTTCGCTTGAGACATCCCCTTCAATTCTGTCGCTTCGCTTAAAATGTCCTCGAGCCATTCTCGACGCACGATAGGGACATCTTCCTTGCATTCTCGAAGCACTCTGAGCGCACGCATCTAACTCGAGCGCCCCTCGAGCATCCACTGGCTGCGCGCGCGCTCGCAGGGCGCCCTGGCTTGCGCCTCAGCGTCTGAGGCTGGCTCGGTCGCCCCA